AAAACAGCATTTTTGCTTGTTAGTGTAGAAAGTTTAGTTTGTAACACAAGAAAATAAACCAAAATAGAAAGCTAAGATCAAGATAGAGAGACAACTATCTCAGGTGTTACACATGCACACTGAGCAGATGTAACAGCCACATTCTGGGATCACTTTTTGTGGTTAATAATTGTTATAAAATTGTGTAATGTTTATCAGATATACGCACTCACACCGTGACTGGACTTGAACTCCAAGTAGATGCTCGTAGAAAGCAGTGGTAAACTTTACAGACGGCAGACTTGGTGGTAAAGTTGAAAATAAAATTACAGTGAATCGCAATATCAGCTGACCACTGAAATTTCATCAGCAGACACGGCCCACACGCCTGCCCTTTCTTGCATCACTGTTTTCACGACAGCTCTGTGAAAGTCTTACGCAGTCACTGATTGGCTGACCCGAGGGACTGAAGCACTAAAACTTCCTCTTCTATCAAGGCGTGTGAGCTGATAGTAATCTGCCTGTGGCCTGCTCATTGCTCATTGCTCATTGCTCATTGCTTACCTCATGAGCTGACATGATAAATGTGATCAGGCTTCTTCAACGGAAGAATGTGAACTTTGCCTTTGACCACATTGACCAGTTTGTTTTTCCCCGCTCTTCATTTGACTTTTGTGATGCATGAACACAGTCTAATACTGATTATACTTCGCAAGCATTTAATTCAACAATTGAATTCAACATAGTTTGAACGCAAAATTAGACATAAAACTAAAAATGTTTGGTTTATGTGTTTGTCTTCTTATAATCCGTCCATAATAGTTGGATATTTGGGGTAACAAAAGCTTACAGTCATATATTATTTCATATTAGGATGTTCTATGCTGAAGGTGAGAATAAGTCATTCATGATATAATAATATTATATAATGTTTAGTATTTAGCAGTACACTAAGTGTTGCAGTAAAATATACTGCAATTTATCACCTTTTGTCAAATCAAATGACAGTTAAACTTTGTCTATATATCTGTTTTATTCGTTAAATAAACTTATCTCACTATATTTTTATTTGAATAGGTATAGAATAAGATCACTGTTGCCCTCAGATAAAGTCAGTCTGCTTTGTGTCTGATATCAGTGTGAGACTGACTGGAGTTTAGTTGGCAATTACATGCAATCTTCTTTGATAATACATCAAATAACTGTGATAAATCATTGAAAATCACATATCAGCTGCTGTCTACATAAACTGAATTTCCAACAGACAAAACAATGATTGTTTTAATTGATCTCACCAAATCAAATTTAAAGAAATATTCAATATTTACTTGTTTTTAAATCCAAGTTGGATACTTCTACTTGTTTATTTGTTTACTCAGTGAAATTAAAGTCTGACTGTTAATATTAACAGTTACATCATCCAGCCAGCCGTCTCTGTATTGTGTGTCCTCCCTTTACCCCTGCTTGAATGACTGAGCACAGAATTAAGAACTAATAATAACCACGGGGATTTTAGGAAAATGGAAAATCACCGGTGGAAGCAAACAGCACCACACATGTTATTCAGGTTTTACATGAGCAGATAAGCATACTTGGTCTACATTACAGTGAACCTGTCGGTCTTGTTGAGCAGCTTCTTGGCTTCCATTGGGATTTCTTTTGCAGTTCTTCCTCTGGTTTCTCTTTCTTATTAATGTAGCACTCCTGAGGTGTGAAGCTTGTATTAGCGTTTCCAGTTTGCTGCATCCAGAGTAATGCCCTCAGGTTGTTGAGACATATGTACAATACATTTCAGTCCCGTTGGTTTTAGGTGTCCTGTATAGCTTTGCAGTAGAATCATTTCTGTTCTTTAACTTCCTCCTGGGTACATGCTTTGTGAAAATGCAAGAAAAAGAAGGACGACGATGCCTCAGTCTGTCATCCTGTAAGTGCCCGGTCCTGTTTTGGGGATCATTCAGAAGGCTGTGGAAAGGTTCTCAGGTGTCCCTGCATGAACAAAAATACTTCAGACTGTTGACAGTCCAGTAAGTGCCTGAGAGTTGGACTATAGTCTCACACTACTCAAAGTGTTGAGGTTTTTCTTTGTCTTCTGTCACATATATAATGCTAAAGTGGTGGACACTCATATTCAAACGTGTGTGTGTGTGTATCTGAAATGTGTATTACACAAAACTACTTTAGTGGAGGCCAAGGATAAAAGTATATAGGTGAAAATGAGCATACTGGGTCACTAATCACCTTGTTAAGATTGTGCTTTTACTCTGTTAAATGTTCTAGTTTTCGCAGAAGGTTGAATGGCTGTGGGTCACACGCTAATGGGGAATCTGAGAGTTGAACTGAAATGTAAGACGAGCATGAGTTTCAGGTGCGCTTTCTGTCCCCTCGTGTGGTTCTGTTTTGTTGAAGGCGAAGGAAGTGCAGCTCTACAGCTTAGCTCTGCGGTGCACTTTTACTGTGACGAGCAACAGGCACAGCACAGCATGCTGTGTCTTTTTAAAGCGACTGTTGGCACCTTGTGACGTTTGCGTAAAATCCCTTTCAATTATTCACTTCATCACTTGTGTCATTGTGAAATTCCAAAATTGATTTCTGTTGTAATTCTGAGAAAAATGCAACATAGATCACAAGGAAGTTGAAAAGGTCAAGCAGCTGCACAGCATGACTGCTGAGCATGAAACTGACAGCACTGGGGTGTGTTTTCTGCATCAGTCATTATTCAGGTTGATTAGTAATACATACGTGATAATGACAAATCAACAGAAAAACTTGAACCCTTGAGCAAGAATTGACCTGGTAAGGACTCTAATTTGGACCACTAGATGGATTTGAATGGATTTGATGGATCCCTACCTTTGAGAGAATTCCCTCTAAATAAATGCAGAGTTGTACTGGGTGATCACTTTAGTCCTTTAACAATTCTGTCCTGTCAAGAGTGGTCTAATGCTCCTTCCATGGGGCAGGTGAGATCTCTGAATGGCTACATGAGTATGAAGGTGATAAAGTCCTACTTGGACACACTGAAATCAGAACACCTGTTGAAAAGCTTCCTCAGTCCTTTTTAAAGTGTATTTGTCCTGTCTCCCTCCCTGAGTGCTGTTCTGCTGAAGGTTTCTTCCTGTTAAAAGGGAGTT